AAAAAAAAAAAAAAAAAGAATTATAGAAAATCACAAGCCTCTTATGAAAGGGAGCCAACGGAGTCACACTGCATTGTCAAGACAAAAATAAGCACCTCAGCCTTATAAAATGACCGACTTACTTATAAGTAGGTGCTTTGTAAAACAACGCATTTACTTGCAAATATGGGCTATAACTCATTTTTTTCCTCAGCATTGAGGATTAAACCACTGAAATACATCCCCACCTTTTATACATTTTTATTTTTTTAATTTTGAGACAAAGTCTCACTAAATTGTCTAACCTAGCCTCAAACTTGTAATTCCATCTCAGGTGCCTGAGTAGCTGGCATTACAGGTGTGCACCATCACAAACAGCTACAACTGCTTTTTAAACAAAATTTTCCACTAGCGTAAAAACTAAGAAAAGTCATAGTTTTCTATGCAAAGAAAAGTCTAAATTAAATTTTACTTTTTCTGAGTGTGCAGCACCAACACCAACCTGGAACCGGGCATGGTGGTATATACATGCAGTCCCGTATACTTGATTGGTTGGCTGAGACAGTGTCTCCCTATGTAGCCCAGACTGGCCTTGAATTAATGAGCCTTCTGCCTCAGGCTTCCAAAATACTGGGATTATAGGCAGGTAGCACCATGGCTGGCTACTCCCAGCTACTTGGGAGGCAGAACAGAAGGATGCCTTGAGCCTAGAAGTTTGAGGCCAGCCTGGATAACACAGTGAGATCCCATCTCAAAACAAACAAAAACCAAAATAATAAATGTGAAACTATTTTAAAGTACATTTAAAAACTGCCTTTCATGTAATTCAATCTGTAAGAAACAACATTTTCAAGTTGGAAGTGGTGGCACATGCCTGTATTCCTAGCTATTTAGGAGGCTAAAGCAGGAGGACTGTTTGAACCCAGGAATGCGGGGCCAGCCGAAGCAATACAGCAAGACCCTGAAAGAAAAAACCGAATTTTCAGGTTGGTTCTATTATGTGCCATACTAAACTTTGCCATGATACTTAACTTTCAAAAACTTGATTTTCAAGCCTTCCCAGACCTTGTTATTACTTGATCAGTTTTTTAAAACCATATAAAAACTATGCATCCTGTTCTGTTTTCTTACTATACTCTACAAATCAAGTAATTCTTCATATGTACACATTTATTATTTATCCTGTTAAACCACATTCCTTCTTCAAGGGCCAGTTTATTTTTTTTTTTGGTTTTTCTCCGGTACCGGGAACCAAACTCACGACCTTGCACTTGCCAGGCAGGCGCTTTTGCCGCTGAGCTAAGTCCCCAGCCCCAAGGGCCAGTTTAAATTTGCTAACAAGTGGTTTCTCCTTTCACAAGATATCAGTTACAAAGTATCGGGCATGGTGGCACCCATCTGCAATCCCATCACTCAGAGAGGCAGAGGCAGCAGGATCACAAAGTTAGCCCTGTCTGGGCAATTTAGCGACTTATTGAGATCCTGTTTTAAAATAGACAGGATAGGGCCGGGGATATAGCTCAGCGGCATAGCCTGGCAAGAGTGAGGTCATGAGTTCGATTCCTGGTACCACCCCCCCCCAAAAAAAAAAATAGGATGCAACTCTGTGAGAAGGGCCTGGGTTCAATGCCTGGTATGGGGCAAGTTTGGGGGGATAGAGGGTGATCAGTTACAAAGTATATGGACAAGAAATGTAAATGTGCTTATTTTTTGGTATCAGAATAAGATTTTAAACTATGTAGCCAGGTGTGGTGGCCCACACCTGTAATCACAGCATGTGGGAGACAGGCAAGAGGATTGCTGTGAGTTTGAGGCCAGCCTGGGCTCCATACTGGGCTCAAGACCAGCCTGAACTGCACAGTAAGACCCTGTCTCAGAAAAAAAAAAGAAAGAAAGAAAGAAAGAAAGAAAAGAAAAGAAAAGGAAAGAAAGGAAAACACAAAACTATGTAATAATTAAGACTATCTTTCTTATTTCTTTTGCACTACCTACTGCATCTAATACTATTGTGAATAAAAAGTCAGAAGTAGGGCTGAGAGTATATAGCTCACAGATAGTGCTTACCTACCACGTGTAAGGCCCTGGGTTCAATCCCCAGTACCAAAGGGGGAAGAGATTAGAAATAAGTATTTGTGAAGTGATGAAAATTCAATGTATAAATTATACTTAGATGGAGACATTTATTTAGTGTTTTACACATACTCTTTACCACAACTATAGATATCATATAAAAAGGATTTGCTCTAACAAGCATTTCAAAATTCATAAAGTTCAGATTTTTGCCCAAATTCAAATGTCAGCACCAATGTTTAGAAACTTAATGCCAATGACTACCCTTTAATGCCACTAGCTCACATTTGAGAACCCTGAACACTCCTGTTATCAGAGGAGAGAGGTATTACAAAGGAGGCGCTCTGGAGTCAGACACTACACTTGGAATCCCACTTCTGCCTTTTACTAGCTATGATCTCATACAAATTATTCAACTTCTTTCAAACTCAGATTATATTCTTATAAACTAGGTAAGAACTACCATCTAAAAAGATTACTACTGTGAGGATAGAAGATGCCACCTGAAAAATCACACATGGCGTATCAAGAGAATATCTTCTATTGACTCGGATTTCAAATCTGAACCTGAAATCTTTTTCCATTGACACAATGTTCCAAATGGTGCCTAATCTGATTAGCATGGTAGTTTAACTTAGGATGGCCCAAACACCCAGCTGTGATGTTTCACACAGTGGAAGGGTACGAGAGAGGACACAGCACTTGCTCATGCCTTATGCCAACCCCCAACAACAACAACAACAAACTCCACAGAAAATCAACACTTTGTATGTTCAGACTCAGCAGATGAATAAATCATGTAAAACACACATATACATTTAAATGTTTAAACAGTTATACCTTTAACAAATAGAGATTCTCTGTATTGTAAACTGGGCCGATAGGAGTATTTTAAAGTTCAAGGTCTACAACTAAAAAGTTTTATAACTTGAATATGCACTGCAGAATCATCAATGTTATGAAAGTTACATAATACTCTCAACTGTGATTTTGTTACATTTGAACTTTTTTCTGTGACAGAAAAAAGATCACTTACCTTAGAATAAATCTGAATAATCTGTTCTTCATATAAAGTACACGGAAAGCCATGGTACTCCTTACCTTATTAATGGTAATGATGTTATTTGCAATCACAGCTAGTAATCCCACATCTGTTGGCCTGTGAATACGAAGTGGTAGTTAAAATTGAACAAAGCTTTAAAAAGAAGTTTTATCGCCTCTAAAAGATACTTCATTTCTAAAGTTCACTTACTTGAGTTTTATTATCTGATTGTAAAGCTGCAAAGCCTCTTCTGTACGACCCTGAAGCTGCAGGATGTAGGCCATCTGACCATGAATGATGGCCAGCTCTGCCTGTGGGTCTTCCTCCATCCCATCCTAAGCAAAAGAAGAAATATTTTCTCCTGTACATTTTCCAAACTGATCTATGTACTTTATACCAAGTAAAACATATGAAAGATACATAATCCTCTACAAGGCATGTAATTTCAGTAATTTCCTCCCGTGACTCAGTTCTTTAAAGTTAAAACTGCCACTGAAGGAGAGTTAAATTTAAGGAGAAATGGCAAAAATACTTGGAAGAAGATGACAATAAATTTGGGAATACCGTGTATTGGTCATTGTTACTTCTAAAGCCCAAGAATGAAAAAAACAATGTAAGCCAAGTGTGGTGGTGCACACCTGTAATCCCAGCCTTTGAGTGGCTGAGGCAGGAGAACCACTGTGAGTTTAAGGCCAGCCAGAGCTACAAAATGAGCTCAAGGCCAGCCTGAACTGCACAGCAAAACCCTGTCTCAAAAAGATTAAAAAAAAAAAAAAAAAAGATAATATAAGAAAGCCACATGTAGGCTTAGCTTTTTACAATATCCCTAAATTCTGGAAGTATAATTTTCTCAGAAGAGCGTATTTTTAAAATGCTTGTTAATTCTACCATAACTTTAGCCAAAATTTATAAAATGCTAATTAATACTTTACTAAGAACTTCACAAGTTGGAATGAGGTCTGGAATTAATTTTGTAACGAACGCTAAATAGCTCTCCTAACTGATGCTCCGGATAGATCACTGTCCAGCCCCCTAGAGGTATGGTGAACGCGCAGAGCTAGGAGGTGCTCACTTGTACCCACCCACACCCTGCCTCCAATCTGCTGAATGCAGACCAGGAGCCAGACATGTGTGCCCAAACCTGTTATGCCAATTATCTGATACAGAAATGGTAACACAAACATCATAGCGAAGGACGAAGTATGAACATAAAGAGACTTGTTTCAATGTCAACCATGCAGAAGGCTCCGAAAGATCTGCTAGAACACAGAAAATTATGTCTGACTAGATATGAGCCAAAAAAGGTGAGTGGTAAGAGCTGACGCCTACCAAAGCTCTGTAATGACACTGATCCCTATCTTTAAAATATGGTTGCTCTCAAAAAAAAAAAAAAGTGGACATTAGGAATGCTGGATTATGTGTGGATGTTGTAAGAAACACATGGAATTCCTGTGAGTAGACCTACAGTCAAAGACTTTAGTTCCATATCCTAAACTAGAAGAATGAATTTTTATTTATATCAATTTAAAAGAAAATGTTCATGGTACTGTGATTTCTCACCCTAACAGACCATCAAATAACTAACCATGGGTGTTTCTAATATGATTTCTATGGAATGAACTGTCATCTACTATAAAAAGTTGATAAATACTACAGTGAAAATTTCTACTAACTATATTACAAGTGTAGAATTTGGGCTTAACAACAGCAGAAGGGTCGGGGATATAGCTCAGCACACAGCAAATGCCTGGTAAGTGCAAGGTCCTGAGTTCGATTCCCAGTATCAAAAGACAAACAAACAAAAAACAGCAGAATACTTACAGAGTCTTCTGAAAATGACTGGCGGCAAAGATCTGTGGGAGAAAAATTGCTTAAAATTAGCACTGCTCGGCAGTTCCCCTTCCTTTCGTCATACAAAAGAGTAAGAACTAAACTGATCAAATTTAAAAATAATCTTAGGATGAAAATTTAAAATTTACATTAACATCACATATACCATATAAATATTATGGACCCTAGCTGGGTGGGGTGGCAAACAATAATCCAGCACTCTGGGAGGCTGAGACAGGAAGACTGAACTTTGAGCCCATCTGCTGGGCATGGTGGTGTCCGCCTGTAATCCCAGCACTTGGGAGGCTGAGGCAGGAGGATCTTTGCAAGTTTGAGACCAGCCTGGGCTACAAAGTGAGCTCAAAGGCAGCCTGAACTGCATAGTGAGACCCTATCTCAAAAAGAACCCCCCCCAAAAAAGTGTGTGTGTGTGTGTGTGTGTGTGTGTGTATATATATATATATAAATAAAAAATTTTTAGCCCATCTGGGCAATTAGTCAGACCTTATCTTCAAAAGAAAAACAAAGTGTGGGGAGCTAGAGACGTAGCTCAGTGTGAAGGCCCTGAATTCAATCTCTAGTAACGCTTCATACACTAAAAAATGAAGTAAGACACAATAAAATAGGTACCTGATTGTCAGTCTCTAGCATTTTTCCTTTCATTTGTATCCTCCATGCTAACATTTTAAAAATGTTAACTACAAATGACATTTACATGTCATTTTTAAATGTCATTTTTTAAAAGTCATTTAAACATATATGTAAATTAATGTGTTGATTGCAAAACATAAATTACAGAAAAATGCAAAGATAGGGGGCTGGGGATTTAGCTCAGCGGCAAAGTGCCTGCCTGGCAAGCGCAAGGTCATGAGTTTGATTCCTGGTACTGGAAGAAAAACAAAAACAAACAAACAAAAAAAGAAAAATGCAAAGATAATAACTGCACCACCTACAGAGAAAACACTGCTAAAATTTCAGCTATTTAGCTGTTATATAAACCTGCATTTTAAAATCAAAGGGGAATATTCTACATACTATATTATCTTCTCCCATTTAATATACTATGGCCATCTTTATGTTATAATAAATATGGGTCAATATTATTTTTTACATTATTAGTTTTAATTACTGCACAGCAATCTACTTTGGGATTATAGTAAATTGTAGCCAATCCTTTAATGGCATAGAAATGTGGGCTCTTTCTAAACTTTTCTTACATATATCCTTTCAATTAATATTCACAGATACATGCATGAATTTACCAAATTTCTAGAAATGGAATTCATGCATCAAAGATGATGCAAACTTTTAAATCTTACACATCACCAAACTGGCTGAGGTGAAGTCTAGACTACCTTGACACGCAAGCCTGCAAGGTTTAAGAATGCTCTTCCGCACCACTGTCAATACTGGGCATCACCAAGGAGTCTTCTCTGTTTTGAGACAGGCTTGCTCAGGTTGATTTTGAACTCCTAGTGCAAATGATCATCCTGTTTCAGCCCTTCACGTGCTGGCAGCAAGGCACATGCCACCACAACCAGTAAAATTTTATTTTTTACTTATTGTGGTGCTGGGCATCAAACCCAAGACCTGCAGCACACTAGGCAAGCCCTCCACTACTAAGCTGTATCTGCAGCCCCTAAATTGTAATCCTTGTTTTTCTTCTCATGATGCACTGATCTTTCTTCTTATTTTAACCTTTACAATTTAACAGTAAAGCAGACCCCATTTCCCCTCTTTTTTTCATTCCTCACCTTTCCCTGAAGCCCCTGGAACATCATTTTTCATTTCCCCAGATGATGTGTACAGAAGAAAAGGCTAAATGCTTCAGGAGCTGAGACCAGACACAAATTTCATTTTACTTTGTGTTCCGGCCTCCTTTTCCCTTCTTTTATCCTTCCTTTCTGGTGCTGGGATTTAACCTACGGCCTTGTGTATGCTAAGCTCATGCTCTACCACTGAGCTACATCCTCGAATCGCCTTTGTTCCTTAATTAAAAGCTTTAAAGCATGTAAATATTGTATATAAAAACATACTAGACAGTTAAAAATGTGCTTGATTGGTGATCTAAGTACATAAATGTAGGGTATGTTGGACACGTATGCTGAGGTGTACCATATTACCCACCAGAGGACAAATAATAATCAAACAGTACCAATAATACTGAATGTTTTACTGAATGTCTTGTACTACTGTAGATGCTTAGCATTAAGTCACTTTATTTACATGTAACAATCATAATAGTTTGCTCAAAAAGCTAATCTTCAACGTTCATTTTTTTGGTCTTTCTGAGACAGGGTCTCACTATGCAGTTCAGGCTGGCCTTGAGCTCACTTTGTAGCCCAGGCTGGTCTCGAACTCACAGTGATCCTCCTGCCTCACCCTCCTGAGTGCTGGGATTATAGGTGTGCACCACCACGCCTGGCTTCAACATTCGTATTTTAAGGTGAAGTAAACTGAACATGGTGGACAAGTGGACTGCCTCAGTGATTGGACAGAACCACTGATAGTCAAAGACAGAGTCTAAATAAACTCTGAATAACTCCCACTGTCTCAGTACTCTTTCCATTTAATAATTTCATAAACATCAAATATGATTTTTGAAGGTACTCTATAAGTTGTATCCACATTATATTAACAGGAACTTAATGAACTTCCAACCTTCAGCTTTCTGGAGGATTTTCATCGCCTGGTTCAGCTGGCCTTGTCCTATCAGTGCACATGCGGCGTTGTAGCATAGCTCGTGGGTGCCTTCTTGGAGGCCCAGGTTCTCCTGCCATGGAGCAGAACACCAGTCAAACACCAGGTGTGAGGGTTATCCTACAGCCGTACGGGTGCATGAGGATACTCACTGGAACCACTTTTTCCCAGTTGCTCTGAGCTGCCACAACTGCCGAAAGGTTTGTTTTCCTCTCCTCATCATAATCATCTTGGGAGTTTCGGACGAGATCTCTATACACAGCTAAGCATTCATCATAGCGTTCCAAACGGTATAGCTAAACAACAAAAAGCAAGTACAAAAAAAAAATCAAAGACTAATAACAATGTTATATCTCTAATGTCACACTAGTGTTCCGGGAAATCACTAAATGAGAAATCCAATTCAGCATAATGCAGACAATCACATGTTTATCTTTTGTAACTTTAAACTAGTTCTGTGTGCTGTGACACCTTCAAAAACAATGCATCTTTACTGCAGATTTATAAATATGATTCAATCTAAAAAAGTAATTTGTAGAGCCAGGCATGGTGGGAGGCTGAGGCATGGAAGTCCCAAATTAGAGTCTGGCATGGTTAACTTAGTAACTAATGAGACCTTGTCTCAAAATAACAGTGATTTTTTTTGGGGACTGGGAATCGAACCCGGGACCTTGTACTTGCTACCCAGGTGCTTGTGCCGCTGAGTTATATTTCTAGCCCTCAAAATAACAGTGATATAGCTCAGCGGGAAGGCCCTGGGTTCAATTCCCATTACAGGCAAAAAAAAAAAAAAAAAAAGGAATTTTCTTTTTATCTTCCTTCTTGAAATCAATTAAGTACCTAAATAGGTTGTGAAAAGAAATTTTACCTAAATCTGAATTACAATAAAAAATTTTATCACAGAGTCAGGTGTGGTGGTTCATGCCTGTAATCCTAGCACTCGGCACGCGGACACAGGAGGATCATTGTCAGCTTGGGCTACAAAGTGAGCTCAAGGCCAGCCTGAACTGCATAGCGAGAGCCTGTCTCAAAAAAAAAAAAAAAAAGTTTATCATAATATAATTACTAATCCCCTGTAAATAGGGACAAAATTAAATATTAATATTATAATTTCATAGAATTCATTAGATATAATCTTTATTTCTGTTCCTCAGATCAGCTATTATACAGAATAATGTCAAAAACTCATAATTCTGCTTATTTATTCAAAGGTCTTCTTTTTTTTAATGGTGGCAAAGTTTCGTTTATTAAAGGTAGAAAAAAAGCCAGAAGGGTAGGGGAAAAAACAGGCTCTGCAGAGTGAATTTGGGCTCAGTAAAAAGGGAGGGGAAATACAGAAATAAAAAATATACTGTGGAGTGTAGGGTGGGCTATCGTGAAGAGGCATGACAGCCTATGCAAATCGGTTTCAGGGTCTCCCTACGTAGTTCAAGCTGGCCTTTAACTCACTGTGAAACTCAGGCTGGCCTTGAACTCACAGTGATCCTCCTGCCTCAGCTTTTTATCTTTTTAAAGGGGCATAGAAGGCATTCTTAGAGGAAGATATAGGACGCACTCAAGAGTGGAATGGAGGTGCTCGGAGAAATGGGGCACCATACACGTGGGAACTGGGATCCTCTGTGTGTTTGGGAGGTGGCAATCTGTGGAATTCGGTCATCTACAGTCTTAGTCTGGCCTTTAGTCTTAGTCTTAGAGGGTGGGGAGGATGGGACAACCCTCGAGAGAGAATGTCTGTTCCCAGGGGAGACGTGAAAAGGGAGGTCCCCCCACGGGGAGGGGGTGGGGGGGGGCCACGTGCGAGTAAGGGGAGCAGGCACACCTGAGCTGCCCAGGTTGGCTGCTTTGGGAGAAGGAAAAAAGTAAATAAACCGGGCTTACGTTCTGGAGCTGCCATTTTTCTTTAAAATACAATTTTTAAAATCTTGGTCTCCTTTCTACCTAACTTCACTTCTTCTATCCTACCTCATTTTCCCTCTCTGAGGCTTCGGTCCCTTATTCTCAAGGGGTTGCTGAATAAAGCCGTCCTTACAGCACAGTCACAATTACCCCCTGGGTGAATCTGTCTACTACGAACAACGGAGACCGGTGCCCTTCAGCAACCCGATCATTTACCCAGCTCACACACTTCTGCCCTCTTATCACCAGGATCCCTATTTTATATCATTTCATTTTGAAAATTATTTACTTTTGAGAGAGTCTCGCTACGTAATTCAGACTGACCTTGTACTCACTACGGAGCCCAGGTTGGCCCCACACTCAAGGTGACCCTCTTGCCTCAGCTTCCTGAGTGCTGGGATTACAGGCGCGCACCACCACACCTGGCCTACCACTTTCAAATGAAGATCAAAAGGAACAAATGTGCTTGGCCTGGTGGCACATGACTATAATCTCAGCTACTTGGGAGGATATAGCAGAAGGATTATAAATTTGAGACCAGCCTCAAATTTGCCAGCAATTCAGCAAAACCCTCTATCACAATAACAGTATTTTTCAAAAGGCCTGGGGCTGTAGCTCAGTGGTAGAATGCCCCTGGGTTTGATCTCAATATTGGGGTAAAAGAATGTTCAGACCTCAAGAACTGGTTTGGTGGGTTTCTTGGCACTTCAGGACGGGCGGTTTCCTCACCCCTGACTGTGCTACAGCATGCTCGGGATGCTGACGACCGACAGGTGTTTAAAGCACACTCACCACCTGTCCGTACAGCTCCTTCAGCTTGTCCGTCTGCTGGCTGGCACTCTCTATGGTCTTCAAGGCATTCTCAATTCTGTTGAGCCTATACTCGCAATATGCCTTCTCAAAGGAGAGAGAGTTGCTGAAGAAGAAAAAGCAGATAGCTGATCGTTATCTCTACAAAATAGAACACTCACTCTATGCCAGACCCTGCTCTAAGCACTTGGAATGTGTTAACTGATTGGATCCCCACAGCAATATGGAACAAAGGTTAGTGACTAAAAAAGTTTATAAAAATTTTTTATCCAAAAATGACACAGACTTGTGTCACAAAATATGAATCCACTTCCCCAGCCTCTCCTTCCTTCATGGATATTAAGACAATTACTGGCCTTCTGGAAATAACACTAAAGGACAGCCGGGCGTGGTGGCACACACCTGTAATACCAGCACTTGGGAGGCTGATGCAGGAGGATCATTGCAAGCCTGGGCTACAAAGTGAGCTCAAGGCCAACCTGAACTGCATAGCAAGACCCTGTCTCAAAAAGAGCTAAAAAAGAAAATGAAACTGGGGGCTGCGGATTTAGCTCAGCGGCAAAAGCGCCTGCCTGGCAAGCGCAAGGTTGTGAGTTCGGTTCCTGGTACCGGAGAAAACCCAAAAAAAAAAGAAACTGAAGGGTTGGGGCTGGGACTCTAGTAGAGCTCTTGCTTTGCAGCCACAAGGCCCTAGGTTTGATCCCCAGCAGCGCACACACACACACACACACACACACACACACACACATACACACACAAAACACCAAACCAAACACTGAAGAAAGTAATTATGAATCAATAAAATAACCAATTATCTTAGGAACGAGGACAATCTGAATATTTAAATGGCTATCTGATAAATTCCTTGTATTTATTAATAAAATATCCATGTGTGATGGTGCACACCTGTAGTCCCAGCACTCTTGGAGGCTAACTCAGAAGAATTTGAGTTCTTGACTCAGCTTGGGCAATTTAGCAAGATCCTGTATGAAAAAAACAAAGGGCTGGAGATGTAGCTCAGTACAAAGGTGCTGAGTTCAATCCCTAGTACCACACATGCAAAAAAAATCTATTAGTAAAATAATGAGCTTTAAGGTGCTTCTTTTAACTTGTTCAAGAAGCAAATAATTAGCAAATAAAAAATAACTATAAGTAAAAGAACACAATACTTGTAATCTAAGACTGGTAAATAAACAACTAAGAAAGCAACATTTATAAACTGGACACAGTGGTACACACCTTTATTCCCATGGAAGGCTGAGGCAGGAGGGTGGCAAGTTCCCGCCCAGCCTAGGCAATTTAATGAGACCTTGGCTCAGAATAGAAAAGAAAAAACTAAAAAATTAAAACAAGTCACAGCCTGGACCTGAGCCAGAGAAGGACAACAGCCTTGCAGCTCTCTCTCCGCTCATGCCCTTTCCCTACTTTTTCTTGGCCCAGATCCGCTCTGCAGAGCCTGTTTCTCTTCCTCCCTTTCTTAACGTTTTTTTTTTTTTTTGGGTACTGGGAATCAAACTCAGAACCTATGCTTACCAAGCAGGTGCTTGTGCCACTGAGCTATATCCCCGGCCCCTCCTCCCTTTAATAAATACAAACCCTTGCTACTGTTACACACACACACACACACACACACACACACACGTCATTTTGAGGTTGCAACCAATCTCTGAAGAAAAACATCAAAGCGAATACCAATATTTTACTTATCTAACAGATCTTTAAGAAAATTTCCTATCTCACAAAATCTGGTATTTAAAATTTTAGCATAAACATGTCTGATAGCAGAAAGCAGCATCCTTTTATTTTTAATAGTTTTAAAATTAGTTTCCACTGTGCAGTATATTTATATGGCTTGGGTATATGAAAAGAAGATAGACACTAATGGTTTATACCCACTGCTGTCCAAACCTAACTGGCTTTTGTCGCCCTCTACAAGTGACTCTTTAATCTGTGTCTCTCCCCCTAGTGTTCTTACAAATACGGTAGATACGTAAGTCTTACAGGCTCCTCCTTTTACAAAAGGAAATATACTATATATTGTTCTTTACCTTACAAGCTCTAATCCCATTAAAGAATACCCTGCAAAGCTAACTGTGACACTTATTTCTTTTGGGGTCCAGTCCCAACCATAAAGAAGTTAGCTGACCGTGCTGCTCTTCACTCACAGGCCCAGGTATTTGGGAGACTGAGGCAGAAGATCACTGACCCCAGGAGTTCATGCCTTGCCTGGGCAACATAGTGAGGCCTCATTTCAAAATAAAATGATTAATTTAAATAAAAGGAAAATCAAAGCCAGGTGTGGTGACGAACACCTATAATTTCAGCACTAAGGGAGGCTAAGGCGGACGGACTGTAAGTTTGAACCCAGCGTGGGCAACTTGGCAAGATCAATTTTTTTTTTTTTTT